TGTAAAGCACAAAGCAAATTTTTCTCGCTCTTTACCAAATCCCATTTTATTTTTATCTCAAGCCTTGGGCTTGATAAATTTATTTGCTCATCAACGACAATGTCATATTACTAATTTATTTTTAATGGCTAATTCTTCCTTTTCTTTTATTCAATCTCTTTTTATTTATAGATTGAGTTTGATTCAATATAATTTTTTAATTCCTATTTCTCCCCTTTTAATTAAGGATTGGTCTATATGGTCTTCTCTTTTTTCTTTTAAGAAAGATTATATCGCATGCACTATTGCTCTCTTATACTCTACTCCTTTTCGTTTGCTACATACTCAACTTTCGAAGCTTCCGAACCTGACTTTGATGGATGGACGCGTTCCCTTATTTGAATGCATGACACCTAAAGCGTTTAAAGCCTATTTCCCTATTTTGCGAAAACGGCTTTTATTTTATCTATCTCAGCTTGTTACTCCCCAAGGGACTCATTTAATTTCTTGGAAAGCCTACTATGATAATTTGGTTGGACGACGTGGCCCTGGCTGTATCCCTTATTGGTATAAAGATATCCAGCAAGCTACTACCATTCCTGACACCAGCAATCGTTTGCTGACCCAGTTCATCACTACGCCTACGATTGACTCTTCATTTTATGAATTGACTCCTTGCCTGTCCTCTCCTACCACTACGAAAAATTGGATTGTCACGTTAGACGACTACGGTTCTCCCATCTTTGGCAAACAACTTTTAGTTCAAGCAAGTCGTGGTACTTGTTCTATTGTTCACTGGGTCTCCCCTGATTGTGAATCTTCACCTGGTGATCTCATTAGACTCTCTCCTTGCCCTGGTTGTGCTGCTCATTCTCCTTTGCCTCCTTCCAAAAAACGGAATGCTGATTTAACCCTTTGTACGCCTATGGTCTCTCTACAACATTCGCTTATTCTGCCCACCTTCAATGAGCGCATTAGACGTAATACTTCTGTAGTATCCTCTTCTTTTACCTGGGCTGATATAGAAGATGGTGTCCGTCTTTATTACAGTCGATTGGATTTTGATTTTGACTCTCCTCCTGACGATATTGTTGAAGTTTCCGCTCCTCTTATCACTATTGAATCCTCAGCTGCTGCTGTTTTTGCAAATTCGCCGTTGGTTGTGTCTTCAGACTCACGTTATATCTTTTTTACTGATGGGTCTCTTATTAATCTAGGCACTCCTAATG